GTTACATGTGCAACGGCGAGCTACTGCATAGGTCACTTGGACGCGTGAGGGAGATTCAGTTGTTTTCTATGAAATCTTAGTCTATACATTTCGACTCATCTGCAGCTAATGATAGACCTTAGCTAAGGATTGGGACTTACGGTTTACTGTGTCTTACTAGCAAATAGAGTCGCCGCAAGGTGGGCTGGGCGCTTTGTCTTACCCGCATAATTGGAACCGTTCGCAGAAACAAATAGACTCAGCTATTTTAACGCAATTTTAGTTCTTATATTTCTTTTTTTGGCTGCCGAACCGGGCGCTGCTAACCGTCCGGGCTGCTCAGTCCCACCAGGCCGCTATGTGCACCGTGGAGCACCCGGTGGCCCTAAGTGAGTGCAGAGCCCTTCTTTTGGAATATTGTGCTTGTTTCAGGAAAATATGTATTTTTTGTGTGCATAAACTGAACTGCATACTACAGACAGCGGAAGCCCACTTCGCTGCCATTAGAGCGGCTCACAGTGGCTGCCGGCCCAGGGGTGTCGAAGTGCAGGGGAACGGCAAAGTTGAAACGCTATTTTCAGAGCTTTTAAAAAGCCGTATTGCCAAGAATTTGGGTTTATTGGTGAGCCTTTGGTATCTAGATAGATGCGTCCTTCCCTCTGCCCTTCGCTGAACTGGGGGCTCTACACCTGGTCCTCTCCTTGACTCGTGAAAAGGGTTTCTCATCTGCCCGCTATTTCGCCTTTTAACTGGATGTTTCCCTGTTTTATTCGGCCATATGGCGCATGGAATGCTTGGATGACTCCGATAAACGGGAGTTTCACGAGTCTGCACGGCTCAGCCCCGTGACGGGTAGACGGACTGTCAACGATCCCTTGAGATCTGTACTTTGTGGTGACAATTTTCCCGCGAGTTTTCTGGTGGTTGTCTCTACACGTTATAGTGTATGCTGTTTGTTGACTGCTCATGGATGGGAAATGGCCAATGGGCTGTTCTTAGGGGGGTTCTGTGTCTAGCTTGCGGAAGCATTGCGTCCAAAGGTGCATTGTTTTGTTTGCCAGCTGTGCGAAGCGGGGAACGATGCTCATTGTGCGCCATTGAGCTCGGTTGAGCTGTGCTGCATGTGTGCAGGGCCGGGTCTTTTATTTTCTTTGAAAGTCATCATAATGTGGGACAGGAAGTTCGTTATCCGCAATGCGGATATGCCCGACGAAATGCAACAGGACGCGATCGACTGCGCGAACCAGGCTTTAGAGAGATACAACATAGAAAAGGACATAGCGGCACACATCAAGAAAGAGTTTGATAGGAAACACAACCCCACCTGGCACTGTGTTGTAGGCCGGAATTTCGGCTCATATGTAACCCACGAGACGCACAACTTCATCTACTTCTACATTGGCCAGGTGGCGGTTCTGCTGTTCAAATCTGGATGAGATGAAATGAGCACTATGGGAGCGGTCGCTAAGAACGCTCTCCTTCCCTCTCCTCCCTCCGCCTGGAGTGGCTCTCCTCATCCTCCTTCCATGTGGTTCTGTGAACAGACCTTTGCCGCAAGGCATGTCTGTTGCTAGGATTTGAAGGGGGAGAGTTGGAAAGCCGCCGCGCACATTCCTGCGCGCGCACATATATATATGAGCATTTGTACACACCGGTGTACACACAGGACATCAGCTGATTTTTCGTGTAGTCGCTCTCTTTGCAGCCTTTCCGAAAAAGAGGAGAGTGCGATGAGACGGTGCGAGATGTTGACGCAATTACTGAACTTGGAAGAGGAGCGATAGCAGGGACCGCCTGTTTCTCAACCTCCGACTTTATAAAGATCTTTTCTGCGCTGATCTGTTTCAAGTTCAATATGGAGACGTATCACTGTCTAGGCTCATTGCTAGGCGACAAAAACGTAACTCTGTAGCAAAAGAAGTGTAGAGTGTACGGGGACAAACAGAAAATTACTTGCGCAATGACAGCGCGGAAGCAGTGCCAGTTGTGAGGCAGAGCAGATAGTTAGGTGGGGGAGGGAAGCAGTTGAAATCCCAAGCAGAATGTTCAGGAGTTGCGGAGAAATTTCGGCAGAGATAAGTTGCGCTCCCCCCGTCTCAGTGCGCGTCATGTAATGCTGGCATTGTCTTGCAGCTTGGAGTGTAAAGTCAACTTCGCAGGGCCGACACTAAAACGGAACACAGGGCGCACGCCCAGACGCTTCGTCAAAATACACATGCGCTGTCTAAATTCACAGTGATTGCAGTGCGCACTGCAGTGGGTGGAGCGGGAGGCTGGTCCGTCAGCAGAACTGAAGGATGAATATACAGGCAGAAAGCTACGTAGCTATTCCCAAAGAAAAAGTAGGGACTGCAAAATGGAGTAGGGGGCCAGCGCTTGCGGCGGTGGCGCTTCTACAGCGATGCTGTGCCCTCATTCCTCCAGTCCATCCATCTACCTTTTCGGGGGCCAACGTTTGCAGCGGTGGCATTTCTACAACGATGTAGCACCGTCTCTCATCGTGTTCAACTACCTTTTTGTCGAACTCGCACGTCGGTAAAAGTGATGTTCTCGATTAAACCCAGTCCGTTGTCACAGGTGTCACCCCCAACATTTCATCTGTTTCCACGGCCTCTGGCACAGCTGCTTCTTCTGTGCGCAAGCTCCCCTTGAAGCTCGCTTCGTGCACGTGTGTGTCACTGAAGTGTACTGGGATGATATCNCTGTGCGCAAGCTCCCCTTGAAGCTCGCTTCGTGCACGTGTGTGTCACTGAAGTGTACTGGGATGATATCAAACTCGCTGACTCTCAAAGAGGCTAAACGATTGGTTCTTCTCTCCCTCAGCATATCTGCCACAGTCCGTCCATTGGCAGATCCCATTAACTTAGCAGTGATAAATGCCATGATCAGAAACGTGGCAGAAAGCCCGACGTCCCACACGATGTTTGCAACTGCAGTACGCTTCAACTCACGATGCTGGGGCTCCCCTACCTTCTGCCAAAGCAGCTGTAAATACGTTATACATTCCTCTCCATTATCTTTAGTTCGGCCGGGTTTGTCCTTTGCCACGGCCACCGCATCCAGGTCCCCTGTCATCTTCATCTGTGCGCTACGATTGGCAGATACCGATTCCAACTGTTGACCACTAGCCTCCTTAGCCGTCGACTCCGTTCGCTCTTGGGCGCTGGTCTCCTGCGCTGCTGTCTTTTGCGCTTCATGAAGAACAGCCTCTTTGTCACCTGCCTGCGCCGCCTCAAGCGCTGTTTCCCCGACTGGTTTCGCAGTTATGCCCTGGGAC